CTCTGCGCTTGCATGCTGCGCATTGTACCGAGTGTTTACATTCTATTTTTCATGTGCTCGTGTTCCATCGTATTCGTTTGGTTTACTGTTGCAATGTAGGGGATTTACCTGCATAATTTAAACAGTGTACAAGATTTTTTAAAATAACATTTTAATTAATTAATTAATTAATTAAGTTTTATATAGACTTTTTTTTAAGAGTTTATAAAAATAATTTTTAGCAACCCCTTGTCGAAATTGTACCTTCTTAATTGATTTGTAAATTAATTTTAAAAATGGCAAACAAAATCCATGATTACAAAACCTAATTTTCTAATAATGATAATATTTTTAAAATTTTTATAAATAAATACTTGCATAGGTTAAACATGGATGCGTTAAAGAATTAGAAGCAGCTATAGCGAAAGAAAAAAAAAGGAGAAAATTCGAAGAACAATTCTCAGATTCTTCATCACAGTCAAATAAGAAGCAAACTCTTTTGGAAAACTAGACTTCCGATTCAAAGCTAGTTACTCAAAAAATATTGGATAAAAAAATTATGGATTATGTAATAGAAGTGTTGTAGAAAAATCATCTTTTAAAGACCTAGTGTTACTTGGATTACCAGGAAATTTTAAAACTTTAGGGGAAAGAATAGATGATGCTTTTATTAAAATGAATACAAATCTATGTGAAGAACTTGAATAAATACATGTATTACAATTACATTTCACATTTTAATTTGATTCCCATTTGATAAAAAAATTGAATTTCAATAAGACAAATTTTAAAATAATTTTTCAGTAACTTGAAATGTAACTTAAGTTACTTTGTAACTAACTGTAACTGTAACGAGTTACTTTTTATAAAAGTAACTGTAACAGTAACTAGTTACTTTTTTTCATTAAGTAACTTAAATGTAACGAGTTACTTAAAAGAAAGTAACTTACCCAACACTGGTTCTTTCATTCGTTCATTCACTTTTTTTGTCCCTCACACTCTAAAGTATTAGTGTTCTGTGTATATATACTTTTGTTTTTTGTTGAGTTCAAATAGATTGTACTATTATTATTTTATGTTATAATTATTTTTACTTTATTTTTTATTTACTCTCTTAATCTGAATCAGTCGAATTTTCACTGATTTGCCAGTGTATTTTCACTTATTTGAATAAGTGGTATACTTATCACTTATTCAGATTGAGAGAGTAATTCAAAATAATTATTTCTAATTAAATGAAAAAATTATTGTTGAGAGAATAATGCAAATCTTTTTTTTTTTTTTAAATTAACACTGTGTTTTTCATTATTATTTTCATCATTTCATTCATAATTTTTCATTGTTCATTCATGTTTAAATTAAATTATTTAAATTAAGCAATCGCAAGAAATTATTTAAATAAAAATTGTTTGTGAAATTTTAAAATATTTTAAATTATTGGATATTATACTTAAAAACATAAGTAAACGAAGTAACAATTACCCTTTTTTTAAAACTGTCGTATCTATATAAAAATCAGCATTGTATTTCAAGAAAAAATTTACTCTGGAACGTCAAAAACAGTTTTTTTCAATTTTCTTTGTAAATAATGAATCAATGTGGCTAAAATTTTTGGAGATAGTGTGTTGTCATAAACATGGTTTACATTTAAATTTTGGTCGAGTTTCTTTAAGTAGTTTTTCAGTAAATTAAAATGTCCTATTGTTTAAACTGTCCCACTGTTTGTCACTCTCCCCTATATATAAAATATATAATATAATATATTCTATATAAAACATTGCTTCTTAATAAATAAAAATAAACGTCTGTACGTGTGAAATGAAAACAATATTGAATTTTTATATTTTTAAGTGAAATAACATATGCTTGAAATAGCTAGAAAATAAGTATATTTCAAATTTAATTTGACGCTTGTGGGTCGCATGGTGGGGGAAGGTCACTTCCCCTCACAGGACGCAATCGATGACTGCCTCATCGCAGTTCACCACAAGAATCGATGAATCAGCCAATTCTCCCCTTGGATTATTAAATTACTGTTGCACTCGTCCTCGCGAATTTCAATAACCTTCGACCATTCCCGCTCATGCCTATGAATACGTCAACGTAAAAAAAAGTTTCATTAAAGGGACTATGCTATATTTTCGCGCCTTAGCTTTAAGCTTTATTTTTACGCTCTTTAAACAAAATTTCGTTTGATCTATAATAAACTGAGAAAATTTTAACAAGATCCGACAAGAAGAATAAAAAAAGGAAAAAACTAAAACATATGGATTATATTATAGATGTCTATATATATATATGGGAATAATACATCTCATACGGAATAAAATTATTACAAATAGTACAAAAATTTACAGTTTACTTTATCGTTTTTAACTGTGATTTTGATGAGTGTTATCGGTTTACATTATTGAAAACTCTCATATTGAAAGAAAATATAGAAATAAAGTTTTAAATACGGAATATTATTTAAATATTGATCTTTCGATAGTGTGTTATGTACAATTGAATGATTTATCATTTAGAAAAAATTCTGAATGTACATAATCAACAGTAAATCCATATCAATGTAAATCCGTAGAAAAATCTCTATTCGAATTACAGTTTTTCTGAAGGTAATTTAATTCTAAAATTTGGATCAAATTACACAATATTTTGATACCCGTAAGTGGTAAGAACTTGATCCTCATTATTTAGATCATTTTTAGAATTGATAGGAAAATTGGGGTCATTTTTTGATACCTAAAATTGGTATCAAAGTACAACTATCATGGACGATATATTCTGTATTCATAAAAGTTCCGTATTTAGCGCCCCAACAATCCAAATTTAATTCTGTCAAAAATTGGTATTTGGAATCTGAAATTTGTATATTTGACTGAACTTAATCAAAATTGTTAAAGGCTGATTTCAGATTACGTAACTTAAAAATTCTGAACCTAATACAGATTACAATGTTTTAACGAAGTAATTTTCAGATTGATGCTACGGATTTTGCATACGTTTTTAGATTTATTTTGCATTGATATATTTTGTGTGACTGCTGAATTTGCATATATTACAAATTCATAATTATTTCAGACTCAATTTGGATACCGAACTGATTTTGGAATTGTAAAATGAAAACATGTGTTATTTCTAAATTACACGTTTTACAAGGATACTACTTATTTTTTAAATACCTCTTATGTTAGACATGGATAAAGCTGTTTTTCTGCAAAAACAGTTGATCCTGATTTGAATAAATAAATACATAGATGAATTTTAAACTACTCTTAGAAGAATACAGAAGTTTCCGAAACTTTCAAAAATCAATATTTGATATATTCAATATTGCTTTAGCTATACATAGGAAAAAATTGGTGGTCAGAACATACTGATGAGAATCTACCCGATTTTGTCATCATTTTACCAAAAGCTGAATCTTTTGTTAAAGCTGAACTGTCAATTACTGTACTGCAAAGTTTGTTTAAAAATCAAGTTCTAAAATACTAATTTTAACAAAGGAAAGCTGTGAAATTTTGAAAAAAAAAATAGAAACATTTGAAACTGGATAAGAATTCTGAGAGAAAAGAACATTTTTTCACTTATACTTATATAGAATTTTCTCACTTATTGAAGCATTATGCTAAAGAAATGTGTGGATACTATATAATAATATATGTCAAGATGGTTTCAATTTGGATAGAAAATTTTTTTGATGAAATGGATCCCAGAAAGGGAAACAATCATGTTGGTGATTGTAAAAGAGATTGGCTAAACAGTGATGAGAAGGACGGTGGAGTGAAGAGCAAAGGGTGATGATGAGGGGTCAAGAGAGAAAGGGGGCACGTTCCTCCTGTCAACTGAGGGTGATGGACACCTCTTTTCTGTGGGAGCCACCAACACATCAATAGCTATTACTGTAACCATGTAAAAAGAATTATATCAACACATCGTTATATTATATATATATATATGCGATCGATGATGCTGGTACAACGATCTCGCTCTCTCTCTCTCTCTTTTTTATCGTGTATAAACTCAAATGAATGAAATAAATATTCTTTGATATGCGTGCACATGTAACAAAAACAGCACATTATATGCATTCCATGTAACATATATATATACACACGTGACGTGTTCCAGGCAAACACGTGTATGATGACCACGCAACAAGTACATTGCTATGTCATTCAACAATTCAACGTGTCTTCCGATTGTCAGTGTAATTACGTTGAACGTATCGTAACGCACGTAATGCATGTTTGCGCATGATTAAAATATGAATCATTCATTGCTCTCAGATGTATTCAATAGTCGAAATAAGGAAGTGCTTTGCTTCTTTTGATAGACTTTAGCTGCAAACAAATTTTAGGTTATGTTTAGTTATATTTTTACCTTCATCGCACTAAACGTTTATTTTTAATTATATGTAAAATCAATCAAAATACAAACATAACCTAAAATTTATTTGCAGCTATGGTTCCTTTCACTTTGGAGCACGTCACATATATCGTTCTTCCTACTTCAATGATAGACTTTGTGTTTAAAATATTATATAATTTTTGAAATACCAAATACAACGTCGTCTGCTCTCGGCAATTCAAGTACTTGATTGGTTAGAAATGCGCGCACTGAATTAAAAAAACGATTCAACCAATCACAGCATTCCGAGAAAAACTACGAAATATTTTCGGCATTCTTCGGAAACGTTCGGGGACACTATATATTAGTATTTTGTACGGACCTCTGTATTCTGTTTTACAAACTTCAATACACTTTTTTAAAAGTGACTGTAAATTCTATTTTTTTTATCAATTTCTATTTATTGGCATCAATAAATTAAATAATTTAATAAATATAATAAAATAAATAATTTTTTTAGATATACATTAATTATTTTTACTAAATTAGATTTAATTATAATTTAATTCTAATTTAGCATTTAATTATTTAATTTAATTTACCTACACGTTTATTTGTTATATATTATATGGTATAGATTGAAATTTTAATGTCATTTTGTATCCACATAGCTAGACCTCGTTTGCGACAACAGTTGGTGGCCTTCCACGTCGACGACGTTTTTCTACGTGGGAAGTTTATTTGGAAATGTTGTCTTCGGCTGGATCGCAGATAAATGGGGCAGAAGAACTGCCTTTTTCGCTATACTTTTCTTAGAAGTTATCTTCTCGATAGCCACTAGTTTCAGCCCCAATTACGTCATTTACACAGCTCTAAGAACCATCAATGGCCTCTTTTTTCCAGCCATCTACCAAATTCCCTTCATTCTTGGTACGTAAATATATAATCAACTTTTGTTTTGAAATTTAAATTTTTTTTTCCTTTTTTTAGTGTGATAATTCACGATGCGCCAGAATGTGGTTTAAATAAAAATGAATTGGCACTTAAAAATTCTTTTTGTTTATGATTCTTAAATGAATAACAAACATTTCGCAATAGTTTTTAAAATCAGTTTACGTGCCCGATTTAAATAAAATTGAGTTTTTATATAAAAACAGTGTTTTATGGGGAATCAGAATTTATTTAATCTAATAAATACTGTAATAAATGATAAAATAATTACTTATTTTCAATTTTACATATAAATAATTATATTCCTGTAGAGTTTGTGTTCAATTTTAAAAAATTAAATTATAATGTTAAAAGAACGATTTTAAGAGTGACAAAATTTATTTAAGAGAGTCGAATGGTCTCTGAAATTTTTTGGCAAGAAAAGACCTTTAATTATCGCTCTATAAAAACGGCACTAAACGTGAAAATGATAAACATTGATTTTAAAATACTTTCTTCTTGAAAAACGGACACTTTTTTACAAAAGCAGCTAGAGATCCTTATCTTATGTAAATTTCCTAAATCCTAAAGATTATACGAATCCATACAAAAACACGATTGCAAAACGAAAAGTAATATAATGAGGGGTTCATTACCTCCTGCCGCCGTCAGATGGCAGCAGCATGCAGGTCGCACAAAGTCGCAGCTGTTATTAGATTACTTTTCTACTTTTTGTTTTGCAACCATGTTTTTCTATGGATTCGTACAGTCTTTTGGATTTAGGAAATTTATAAGATGAGGATTTTGGCTGATTTTGTTAAAAGTGTTCGTGTTTCGAGAAAAAAGTATTTTAAAATCAATACTATTTCACGTTGAGAGCGATAATTAAAGCTCTCTTCTTGCCAAAGAATTTCAGATACCGTTCGACACTCTTAATGCATAAATATAAAAACGAAACAAGAAAATAACTTCATTGTTAATAAATTTATATGAACCCAAATCTAAAACATACATTAAATAAATTCTGGTTCCTCATAAAACACTATTTTTAAATATTTAAAACTCAATTTGTTTTAAATTGGGCACGTAAGTTGATTTTAAAACCTATTGAGAAAAGTTTTTTATTCATCTTAGAACAATAATCAAAAAGAATTTTTAAGTGCCAATTCATTTTTATTTAAACCTCCTTCTGGTGCACCGTGAATTATTAATTAATTAATTATTATTGATTTTAGTTATTAAATTATTAATTTGTATTTTCAAATATTTTTCTTACTGTATTCTGTGCTTTTCTTAATTTTATGTAGATAATAAATTCTAGACGAATATTTTTTTTATGAAATTTTTTTTAAAATGAAAATTAATTGAAAACAAGAAAAACAATCACTTACTTGATTATTATCATTGCAGCTCTCGAATTAATGGGACCGAGGTATAGAACCTTCGCTGGCATGGTCATTTGCATGTTTTTCGCATCGGCAATGTCACTTCTCGCGTTATTGGTGAGCATTTAAAATTTATTGATAGTTTTGTCGGTAAATAAGATAATTATCACATATCATTGTCATTATAAATCAATCGTTCATGTTTTCTTAATCAATAAAAAGACAAAAAATTAATTTACAATTTACATACCTATAATAATTTAATATACCTAATTATAAAAATTATAATTTTTGTAATTTTTCTAAACGTATTGTGAAAAAAAATCTTTTAAGAATTGGAAATTATTTTTGTATTCAAGACTTCATAAATTTGTCAAAAATTAGAATATTTTTAATTTTTTATTTTCTAATTTACACTCCATAAAAAGTACCATAAATTAATAACAAGTTTTTGAATTTTTATGTAAAAAATTTTAATTTTTTTTTTATTTGCATGAGACATAAAAAATGTATTTTAATGCACTGATTACGAAAATCATAGTGACAATACCCAAAAAATTAATTTCTTTGGTAAAAATCAAAAATTTGAGGATTTTTTTTATGGTTTTTACCATAAAAATCAAATTTTTGGGCATTGTCACTATGATTTTTGTAATCAGCGCATCAAAATACATAAAAGTGCGTAGTATGAAACAAAACTGGAGATATTTTAAAAAATTCAAAATTTTCAAAATTTTTTGAAAATACAGTGCGGTCTCGTAACTGCAACATTTGAAACTGCAACAGTTTCGTTACTGCAACACCCCACCTCGACCACCGGACTTGAAACTGAAACGTGACGTCGGCAGCTTTCAGTGCCGTATCTACAGCGGAAAATGAATATCAAGTATATCAAGTAAATTTTCTCGCGTATAGTAGGTATGTACGTCCCTGAAATGGTAGGTAGTGGGATATGTTGCAGTATCAAGTCCGAAAGAGTGGGAAATTTCAGAGAATGTTGCAGTTACGAGACCGCACTGTATTAAAAAAAAATTGTTTCCCTACGATCGGACTAGGCTTAAAATTTTTGTAAAAGAAAGTAGTTTTTTTTTAAATTTTTTGAAAAAAATCGAAGGATACAAACAGTTTTAAAAACAATATTTTAACATTTAACCCCTTGACAGTCCAGGGCCCATATGTGGCCAGAAAAAGTCGTGCCACCTTTGTGCAAGTGGCCATATATGGCCACCGCAAAAAAATAATACTAAATTTAATTTGATTCGCCTGAAATTTGTTACTCGGGGGTTTTTGGGGTCGCTGAATCAAAATTTAAAGTCAGATTTCAAAAAACAAAATGGCGGACCCAAAATGGCGACCATGAAAACTTAAAATTTATCAGATTATGGCGGATAATTTAAAAATTAATGCGTTTTGACCACAAATTGTTACTCGGGGGTTTTCGTAGTCGCTGAATTCGAATTTGAGGTCAGTTTTTCAAAATTCAAAATGGCGGATCCAATATGGCGGACAAATTTTTAAAAAATCAATCCGATTTGTCTGAAATTTGTTACTCGGGGGTTTTTGGGGTCGCTGAATTCGAATTTGAGGTCGGTTTTTTGAAATTCAAAATGGCGGACAAAATTTTTAAAAAATCAATCCGATTTGCCTGAAATTTGTTACTCGGAGGTTTTTGGGGTCGCTGAATTCGAATTTGAGGTCAGTTTTTCCAAATTCAAAATGGCGGATCCAATATGGCAGACAATTTGAAAATTGATGTGTTTCCACCGAAAATCGTTTTTTAGAGATTTTTGGAATTTTCGAAATCAGCGACCCCAAAAACCCCCAAGTAACGATTTTCGGCCGAAACACATTACTTTTTACATTATTTAACATATTTGGTCACCAAATTTAATCCGCCATTTTGAATTTTAAAAAAACGACCTCAAATTCGAATGCAGCGACCTCAAAAACCCCCAAGTAACAAATTTCAGGCAAATCAGATCAATTTTTTAAAAATTTGTCCGCCATATTGGATCCGCCATTTTGAATTTTGAAAAACTGACCTCAAATTTGAATTTAGCGACCCCAAAAACCCCCGAGTAACAAATTTCAGGCAAATTGGATTGATTTTTTAAAAAATTTGTCCGCCATATTGGATCCGTCATTTTGAATTTTGAAAAACTGACCTCAAATTCGAATTCAGCGACCACAAAAACCTTAAATATGATGAAGTCATATTTTTTTGGAAACTTTTTTTTCGGACCGTTTTAGGCCCACCAGCGATTTTTAACTGGACTGCGAAGGGGTTAAATTACAAACAATATAGTAAATTTAAATTTTATAATTTTTTGCATGAAATTTTTGAAAAGTTGAGTTAAAAACACACATTTTGAAAAAAAAACTTAAAATTGATGCATTTTTAAGGAAGTTATGAGCATTCAAAAATAAAAAATTATTAAAATTCTCCAATTTAGAAAAAATTTATTTATCGTAAGCGGCTTGATGAAAAAATTTGAAAAAAATCATGAAGCTCTTTTTTGGAGGGTACAAAATGGTAAAAAAATTTGAGCCAATTCGAAGAGGTCAAAGTCGACGATATATTGGTTTGGCATGGACCGTCCCATATGTACTTCCATTTCCATAGATTTTACTTTTTATTCATGTTTATATTTCCACTTCCATTAATTCTAATTTTAACACAAATATTTCCATTTTCACTTCCATTTCCACTGACCCTAATTTTCACTCCCATAAATTCTATTTTTCACTCATGTTACCGTTTCCACATTCATTTTTAACTTTCTTTTATATTTTCACTTTCACTTACACTGATTAGAAATTAGTGAAAGTGAAAACGAAATTAAGATTTTAATTTTTAATTAAATTAAAAATTTAAATCAGTGGAAGTGAATGTAAAAATATAATTAAAAAATAGAAACTGTAAAAGTAAAAATAAAAATGAGATAGTGAAAAGTAGAATCAATAAAAGTGAAAGTAAAAAAACGAGAGTAAAAAATTAGAATCATTGGAACTGGAAATATAATAATTGTAAAGAGGATAACGAAAATGGAATTACTTTTTTTTTTTTAAAAAAAAAACGCGTCTTAGATTGCTTAAGTAGTTTCATTTTTAGTTTTTTTGAGGCAGAGTCGAAGGGCAAAAAGAAGAAAATTTTAACTAACAAAATATTTTTTTTACTAAATCATAATATAATATTTAAAGCGTTTGTATTTTATTGTTTTAACGTAATACTATAAAAAAGAAAATAATTTTTAGAATTTTATTATTATTTTTGTTTCTGTAATTTATAACGTAAAATAAAACAATAAAAACTAATTAAATTTGTTAGTTTTGTTAAAAATGTAATTATAATTAATTTCAGGGATATCTCCTGAGGCATTGGTACACTTTATCATTAGCCACATCAGTTCCATTTATTCTACTCTTTAGCTACTATTGGATAATTCCAGAATCGCCAAGGTGGCTTCTCAGTAAAAATAGGATAGACGAGGCAGAAGAAATTGTCCAGCACATGGCCAAAATGAATGGTAGAACAGTGCCCACGAATTTTCTTAGAAAAATGGAGGTAATGAGAAAATGGAATTTAAAAAAAAAAATGTTTAATTTAAAATCTAAAGCAACGATCTTTTTTTAGATGGACATTTTAAAACGTCAAGGAGTTTCTTGTAATGGGAAAAATTGTGGGGAATTCTCACCGGAAATGGAGACTGAAGATAGACCACCACCACCTTCCGCAACCCCAATGGATTTAATAACAAATCCTAATATCAGGAAAAAATTTTTTATTTTAGCATTTGATTGGGTGGCAAATGCGGTCGTTTATAATGGTCTGTCGTATAATACGACGAATCTAGGTGTCTCTGATTACTTAGCTTTTTTTATTGGTAAGTTTGTTATTTAAAATTTAAATAGTTTTCCTCTAAATTGCTCAATTTTTTTTTAACCGAGTACTTTAACCATACAGCCACAATATGACTTACACATATTTTATCTAATACTTCTTTTTGGGGTTTTGTCAGGAAATTTTGGTCAAATTCCAAGAATAAAATTTTTTTTAAAAGATTAGTTCATATGAACCAGTGTTGGGTAGTAACTACTTATTAGTAACTAAGTTACTGAAAAAGTTACTTTACTTGTAACTTATAACGTAACTACTTTTTTTAAAAGTAACTTGTAACGTAACTTAGTTACTATTTTAATAGTAACTTTTAATTTTAAGTTATTTCATTACTTTCTTTGCACTTTTTTATTGCTTTAAAAACTTAATAATTTCGTATTTCAAAAAAAGCGCGCAAAGTGATAGCAAAAGAACATGGCCTCTGCGCTTGCATGCTGCGCATTGTACCGAGTGTTTACATTCTGTTTTTCATGTGCTCGTGTTCCATCGTATTCGTTTGGTTTACTGTTGCAATATAGGGGATTTACCTGCATAATTTAAACAGTGTCCCACGTGAAAAGGTTCCCGGAATTTTTTTGGTTTTTCCCAGAATTCATGGAATTTTCGTTTCAATCAAATAATTGATACTCCGGGATGACTCCAACGTACATCCAGATATCCAGGAGTCAATTGGACAACTTCTTCAGGGAAGTTTAGCTGTAATCAAACCATCAATACTCCAAGATGACTCCAACGTTCTTCATGATGACTAGGAATCAATTGGAACACTTCTCCAGGGAATTTTAGCTGTTATCAAAAATCGATACTCCAGGATGACTCCAACGAACATTATGATGACCAGGAGTCAATTGGACAACTTCTCTGGGGAATTTTAGCTGTAATCAAACAATCGATACTCCAGGATGACTCCAACGTACATCATGATGACTAGGAGTCAATTGGACAACTTCTTAAGGGAATTTTCGTTTCAAACTGATTCTTAATAATTAAAAGAATCATAAACTTGGATTTAATATTTATGATTATTTAATATTAGGATTCTAACAAAATTATTGTTGTCCCACTTTACTTTACCGAAGGGGTGAAAATCGAAAAATAAGGGTTGATTTTGAAAAAAGGGGTCAAAAATTTTTTTTTTTAAATTTTGTATACATTTTTGAAAAGTACGTGAAAAATGCATTTGAATTCATTATAGATAAATTAAAATCCATTAACTTTTGTCATAGTTATACGGATTTGAAAATGACAATGTTACCCTTAACGTCAAAACTTCAACCCCCTCTACTTTTTACAAATATTTTTTTAATGCGTTTATATTTTAGGGATTTATTACTATCATATCGGACAACAATTTACCAAAGTATGAAGCCAATCCCAGAACATTGACTTTTTGGGCTGGGGCGATTGAAAAAGAATCTCTCATATAAGAGATGTACATGACATGATATATTTTTTTGGGGGGGTTTCATAGACAAGCTCACATATGCTCAGAAGAGTACTTGATGTTTTAAGCGCCCCTAACTTCATAAAAAATGTATTTTCAATGTATAATCTAACCGGATTGTAAAATTTTAAACACAGAAAAAGAAAAATAACCTATACATTAAAGCCTCATTAATATTATTTATGATATAATTAAAAGTTAATGAATAATTGTTGCGATTAAGTCGGGGCTTCATCTAACCCTTTTAAATTACGCCACTGTCCACGTCGAATTTTTCTTAACTTGACTACTAAATATTGAAAAAAAAGAGGTCATATATTGTTAAAGAGACTTCTATTAAACAAGAAATTTCGTCTTCTTCTCGTTTTTTCCCCACTTTAGTAGTCAATTTACTAAAAATACATATGAGTTTAATAAAAAGTGATAATTAAATTTTCTCCGTGTAAAATTCTCTGAAGAAGTTAAACAATACACTCCTGGGTATCAGGATGTACGTTGGAGTTGTTTTAAAAACTCGATTATTTGGTTGAAACGAAAATTCCCTGAAGAAGTTGTCCAATTGACTCCTAGTCATCATGATGTACGTTGGAGTCATCCTGGAGTATCGATTGTTTTATTACAGCTAAAATTCTCTGGAGAAGTTGTCCAATTGACTCCTAGTCATCATGATGTACGTTGGAGTCATCCTGGAGTATCGATTGTTTGATTACAGCTAAAATTCTCTGGAGAAGTTGTCTAATTGACTCCTAGTCATCATGATGTACGTTGGAGTAATCCTGGAGTATCGATTGTTTTATTACAGGTAAAATTCCCCGAAGAAATTGTCCAATTGACTCCTAGTCATCATGATGTACGTTGGAGTCATCTTGGAGTATCGATTATTTGATTACAGTTAAAATTCCCTGGAGAAGTTGCCCAATTGACACCTGGGTATCTGGATGTATGTTGGAGTTGTCATAGAAACTCGATTATTTGGTTAAAACGAAAATTCCCTGAAGAAGTTGTCCAATTGACTCCTAGTCATCATGATGTACGTTGGAGACATCCTGGAGTATCGATTGTTTTATTACAGCTAAAATTCTCTGGAGAAGTTGCCCAATTGACTCCTAGTCATCATGATGTACGTTGGAGTAATCCTGGAGTATCGATTGTTTTATTACAGGTAAAATTCCCCGAAAAAGTTGTCCTATTGACTCCTAGTCATCATGATGTACGTTGGAGTCATCTTGGAGTATCGATTATTTGATTACAGTTAAAATTCCCTGGAGAAGTTGCCCAATTGACACCTGGGTATCTGGATGTATGTTGGAGTTGTCATAGAAACTCGATTATTTGGTTAAAACGAAAATTCCCTGAAGAAGTTGTCCAATTGACTCCTAGTCATCATGATGTACGTTGGAGACATCCTGGAGTATCGATTGTTTTATTACAGCTAAAATTCTCTGGAGAAGTTGCCCAATTGACTCCTAGTCATCATGATGTACGTTGGAGTAATCCTGGAGTATCGATTGTTTTATTACAGGTAAAATTCCCCGAAAAAGTTGTCCTATTGACTCCTAGTCATCATGATGTACGTTGGAGTCATCTTGGAGTATCGATTATTTGATTACAGTTAAAATTCCCTAGAGAAGTTGCCCAATTGACACCTGGGTATCTGGATGTACGTTGGAGTTGTCATAGAAACTCGATTATTTGGTTAAAACGAAAATTCCCTGAAGAAGTTGTCCAATTGACTCCTAGTCATCATGATGTACGTTGGAGACATCCTGGAGTATCGATTGTTTTATTACAGCTAAAATTCTCTGGAGAAGTTGCCCAATTGACTCCTAGTCATCATGATGTACGTTGGAGTAATCCTGGAGTATCGATTGTTTTATTACAGGTAAAATTCCCCGAAAAAGTTGTCCTATTGACTCCTAGTCATCATGATGTACGTTGGAGTCATCTTGGAGTATCGATTATTTGATTACAGTTAAAATTCCCTGGAGAAGTTGCCCAATTGACACCTGGGTATCTGGATGTACGTTGGAGTTGTCATAGAAACTCGATTATTTGGTTAAAACGAAAATTCCCTGAAGAAGTTGTCCAATTGACTCCTAGTCATCATGATGTACGTTGGAGTCATCCTGGAGTATCGATTGTTTTATTACAGCTAAAATTCTCTGGAGAAGTTGTCCAATTGACTCCTAGTCATCATGATGTACGTTGGAGTCATCCTGGAGTATCGATTGTTTGATTACAGCTAAAATTCTCTGGAGAAGTTGTCCAATTGACTCCTAGTCATCATGATGTACGTTGGAGTCATCCTGGAGTATCGATTGTTTGATTACAGCTAAAATTCTCTGGAGAAGTTGTCCAATTGACTCCTAGTCATCATGATGTACGTTGGAGTAATCCTGGAGTATCGATTGTTTTATTACAGGTAAAATTCCCCGAAGAAGTTGTCCAATTGACTCCTAGTCATCATGATGTACGTTGGAGTCATCTTGGAGTATCGATTATTTGATTACAGTTAAAATTCCCTGGAGAAGTTGCCCAATTGACACCTGGGTATCTGGATGTACGTTGGAGTTGTCATAGAAACTCGATTATTTGGTTAAAACGAAAATTCCCTGAAGAAGTTGTCCAATTGACTCCTAGTCATCATGATGTACGTTGAAGTCATCCTGGAGTATCGATTGTTTTATTACAGCTAAAATTCCCCGAAGAAGTTGTCCAATTGACTCCTAGTCATCATGATGTACGTTGGAGTCATCTTGGAGTATCAATTATTTGATTACAGTTAAAATTCCCTGGAGAAGTTGCCCAATTGACACCTGGGTATCTGGATGTACGTTGGAGTTGTCATAGAAACTCGATTATTTGGTTAAAACGAAAATTCCCTGAAGAAGTTGTCCAATTGACTCCTAGTCATCATGATGTACGTTGGAGTCATCCTGGAGTATCGATTGTTTTATTACAGCTAAAATTCTCTGGAGAAGTTGTCCAATTGACTCCTAGTCATCATGATGTACGTTGGAGTCATCCTGGAGTATCGATTGTTTGATTACAGCTAAAATTCTCTGGAGAAGTTGTCCAATTGACTCCTAGTCATCATGATGTACGTTGGAGTCATCCTGGAGTATCGATTGTTTGATTACAGCTAAAATTCTCTGGAGAAGTTGTCCAATTGACTCCTAGTCATCATGATGTACGTTGGAGTAATCCTGGAGTATCGATTGTTTTATTACAGGTAAAATTCCCCGAAGAAGTTGTCCAATTGACTCCTAGTCATCATGATGTACGTTGGAGTCATCTTGGAGTATCGATTATTTGATTACAGTTAAAATTCCCTGGAGAAGTTGCCCAATTGACACCTGGGTATCTGGATGTACGTTGGAGTTGTCATAGAAACTCGATTATTTGGTTAAAACGAAAATTCCCTGAAGAAGTTGTCCAATTGACTCCTAGTCATCATGATGTACGTTGGAGTCATCCTGGAGTATCGATTGTTTTATTACAGCTAAAATTCCCCGAAGAAGTTGTCCAATTGACTCCTAGTC